ATTCTTAGGAACCTGGGCCTTTGCATTGTTTGTACATACTGTTCCACTGTACCATGACAACCCTGATTGGAAACATTGATAAACTGCTCATGAACACAAATAAAAACTTCAAAAGAGGATATTTGAAGGGTCTCGAATTGAAAGAACTTAATGTGAAGGACTCACTGTTGTCCAGCTTCATAGATGTGACGCATGGTCAAACTAAAAAGTCTGCTTCACTCAATGCAGCCAGGACACTGTGCTGTGGGACACTGTCACCGGTCCTCAGCCCTCCTCCTGCTCGATATCTACCCATCAGTCGTCCCGGGCTGAAGTGATGGTCCATAGCTGCCTGAGGGATCAGAGTGGTGCTGTTTCTCCACCCAGCCTGAACCTCTCCAGCTGCTACACAGCAATGCCTGATGACAACTTACTCCATGTGGACGGCCAAGCGGGTGTGGACCCAGAAACAATGCCTGATAACACTGCAGCTTTTCCACCACTGGTGGCTGATGACACCAGAGCGGCCGGCAACCCCATCATGAAGCCAAATAAACGGACCTCATCCCAGCGTAGGATGCTACAGTTACAGCATTCTCCTTTCTGGGCACAAAGTAAGGACTATGCACTTCTCTTGCGTAAGAACAAACAGCCTTAATCTGTCATGCCAAAAACTGATTTTCCCCAATTTGGCAAAAAAAAGAAAAGTATTTAAATTGTTGTAAATGACTTGTTGGTATATAATCTGTCTAACATATAAAGTTATTTTGGGTCACAGAGCAAATTCCTGTCACAAGACAGAAGCTGCAATCAGCTTTTGGCAAAGTGACTTTTTTCTATCCTGCATTTATCCGGGTTAAAAGTTTCACTGGCGTTAGAAATGTCCCTTTCAAGAGTGAGCCGGCCAAGAGGGCAACAAATATAAGATAATAGTTCCATAAAGATTTTCTAATTAGCCAAAAAGGACTGGATAGATTATAATGTCATGTCAGAATCATAAAGACGCTTTCAAAACAGGCAGTTTTTTAATTTTATATATAACCTCTTTCTTAATCTTGTTCACTACAGCCTATTTGCCATTATAAACAACAATATTACACATGAAAAACACAGAAACAGAAATCACTTTTTGGCATGACAGCAGCTAGTCTGGTAATGATTAGTTGTGTTTTATTTAGCAGCTCCCCTTTCAGGCCTCACCAACTGAGTATGCCGGATTGCCCTCCTGTGTTCATAATGCCCATTATCCGTTTTAATAAACCAAGATCACAATTTAAAACAAAAAGACCCAGTTATAGTATTTCACCAACCTCATATTTCACTGATGCTGCTGTTTTTTTTTTACCAATCCCTGTAATTATAAAGGCACAGAAGCAAACTGTCTCATTTTCATCAAATTTCTACTTCCGGACTTAATCATCTAATTCCTTTGCCCTCTAAATCACAGCCCTCAAAGCCTCTAAGTCCAGCAGTTACTGCCCTTCTTAACTGCAGATCTTTAATCTTCTGCCCATTATCTGTGACCTTCTGTTCTGCTAACATGTGTGTATGTAGGAATGAATGAAAGCCTGTGGGCTTGACTCTGTGTTTGCATGTGTAACCATTTAGACTTTTTAAAGTGTTTTTATCCAAATTGTGAAGCACTTTGTAACTGTTTGTTTTAAAAAGTGCTATACATATAAAGTTGTTATTGTTATGTATGACTGCTGATTTTGCCTTTGGGGGCATGGGTCAATTTGTCCGGGCTTTCAGTACAACAAGAACTTCCTGTCTACTTCCTGTTCCAACGAATGCAGACAGATCAAAGAAAGGAAGTTTCCAGGTTGAGTTTCAGCAGATGAAGTCTCTCTTTTGCTCTTGCCACATACAGTTTAACTCTATATGCAATCAGAGGCACCTCAGACGTGGTTGGTCAGTTGATTAGTCTATTCGAACTACAAACAGAGTACAAATAGGAACCAGAAAACCTGCAGTGGAAAGAATCTTGCCCACAGATTTCAGATTCATATGTTTTAATGAAGACGGTTCAGAAGGTTCTGAGTAATCATCACTGAGTGATACAATTTGACAGAAACGTACTGCAAAAGACAACTTTTGCTTGAATGATTGACTGCTTTGACAGTATTAGACTGTGCTGTGTTACCAGTTTGATTCGAATATACTTGAAAGTTAAATCCAAACCGGAAAACTGAAGATTTACTAGATGAGAAAAATGATAAAGGTTACATTGCCTGCATAGGAACCTCAATACGCAGTTGTGACTTCACTAAAAAAAAAAACTGAGACTAGGTGATATTTTGTCTTTTTCTTTCTGAATTTGCAGGTTTTCCTCTCTGTTGCTTATTGATAACTGGGAAAAGGTATCAAATGTTGAGATTCTCATTGCTCTACTATAAAAGCAGCAGTTCAAGTAATATTAAGCAGACGTGATACAGTCTATAAACACTTGTGAAATGTGCCTTCAGAAAATGTCACCCACACTTGTTTGTCAATAAACCCCTGCACTGGGAGGCCGAATACACTGAAACTCATTTGGCAAGCTCATTTCTGGCACAGCTGGCTGGTTTCAAGTGTGAGAAGGACAGAAGCGGGAAAGACACTGTGTCACTGTGGGTGCCAGGTATGGCTGCGTGGTGCATTTTGGGTACTGAACGACAGAGGTTGGTGAGTGTGGTGTGGCATTTACCCAGCAGCAGGTTGACTAGGACCTCCTGTCCAGCCAGGGTATTACTCCGTGTGAGACACACGATAGTGCCAATGATCCACGTGATGCCATGCCCCGTGAGAGCCAACAGGGCAACCATGGAGCGGCAGCCTCCCCAGGAGGACGACGTGTAGGCGCACACCCCCATGCGCTTGGACAGGCAGATGTCAATGGCAAGCAGGGAGTTCATTGCTATTCCTTTGAAGGAAGGGTTCAGCTGCATGCAGTCTTCCTCTGGCATTTTGGTGGACTCTCTTCTGTCCCTGCTGCCTCTGTCGGTAGGTTCTTCACTCTGCTGACTTGTTTGGTGCTTGATTTGACCCAGTCGCCTTGAGCTGCCTCGGCTCTCAGCGGGGGCCCCGCCGCTACAGAGGGGCTGATGGTTGAGGGACATAAACTCAGGTCTGCCCAGGACGCTGTTTCTCTCCCGCGCCCTGGATCTCACACTGGAGGGCATACTGGGGGTGTTGGGGCCAAGTTTTCTTCTGTGGCTATAATAACCGATTGCCAATCTCCAGAAGATAATGCAAGTGGTGCAAGACAGTGAAATGTCCCAGGATAAACCCCCCTCCCCTCCCTACACCACTCCTCCCCCACCTCCTGTGGCCTTAATAGATATATTTAGACACGCTGGAATGCACGTTGTCTGTGGTGTTTATGCCATGCGGGGAGGAAGAGTGTATTGAATAGCATCTGCTCCGTCCAATCCAGAGAAACACGATCTAAAGCACGGAGATAAAAATTACAACATGAACATTTCGTTACGCACCGATACACCACTAACAGGTGCCTCACTGCGCGTGCTTTTGGTGGAAATCAAGCTCAGTGCAAATTTAAAACAAAAGAAGAAAGAAAAACACTGTGTAAAGAGACTACGAAAGACACGGCGTTGTCATCTTACCGAGCGAAGAAGGGAGAGCACGGGAGCGCGCACATCTCTCTAAATCCTCTCCGATATACAGAGAGGACGTTCACGTATATAAAGCGATCCGCGCAAAATCAGAGGAAAGTTGACAATCACCAAACCGTCGACAAGAAAAGGGAAAAGACAAGGCAGCGCAGCGCAGGCAGTGTAGCGTTTGATTGTTCCTGGCGGATTTGACGTAGCTTACGCACGATTCCCGATTCAGCCTGGGCGCTGCGCTCCAGCGCCAACAGCGGAGTTCTCCAAGGTGCTTAAACAGACAGCGCCAGGACTCACAGAAACCCCGCATTCGGCTTTATTACACACAAAGACAGGGGGCAGGGCTTATGGAGGGCCACGGAAACAATTTCAAATGTTCAGAAATGGTTAAAAAAAAAAAGAGAAAAGAAAAGAAAAGAAAAAGCGATGAGCACACAACCTACATTTTTACAGAATTTATCGCACCGATCAGACCATTTGTTGTCTGCTACTGCCACACTACAGCAAAATACATAAATAAATCAAAATTTATCAATCATTTATAATTTATTTAAAGCTGACTGTGATCCACTGATTAGTCAGTGGAAAGACATTTCCAAAAACCCCACAAAGATGATTTCATTTGTCTGTGTCCAAATTTTCAATACCACCCAAAGAGAGCGGACACGCGTCTTAAGTTACCTGTGGGGGCTCTTTTAGGCTCTCAAAAATCACTTACTAATTATATGTTATCAGTTATAATTATAACCTTCTCAAAATGAGGGACCTTTAGCCTCCATTTCCCAGCATGCTTGCAACACTCGCAGAGCGGAAGTGTCGTCAGGAAGACTACTAAAAGCTGCTTCCCAGGCAGCTCAGATAGACCAATGCGTGTCGGGGTGAACCTGCCGAGGCAGAGATGGGACGAGCGCGGAGAAATGACAGCTTGTGCAGGAATTTAGGCTGAACTGCAGCCCATCTCTCGGAGCACTGCAGCTGTCCGCTCGGTCGAACTATGTAACAGTTGGAATTTCTTCCATCAGAGCTGCATTATACATATTTTGTATCTATATATTATTATTATTTTTTTTATTCAGTTTGACACCTGATCCCGTGGAATGGTCGCAAAAGTTGACCCGGCGCCGTCCTTTTGGATGTTGCCGTGCTCAGTCTCAAACTCGACCAGACTGTCAGCGCTCGGAGAAATGCTACCTCTGTTAACGGGACGCTGAAATTGTTTGCAATTGGAAGGAAAGGGGAGAGAAGGGGACGAAGAAATAAATAACGGGATCGGTTGTGGAAGGAGATAACGGAATTACCTCTGTGACCGGAGAACTGTGCGAGCCGCCGTTTACGCTGAATTTCTCCAGGATTTCGCCCCAAACAATTCAGTGGAGACTTTCCAGTGAATTGTTTTATAGGTAGACTTTCTTTCTTCTTCTTCTTTTTTTTTTGCATGTTGCTTTGTCGGCTTTAAAAACGGGAAAGAAAAAAACAGACCTCAGTTCGTAATTGTACTGCCAGAACCTCTGTTTCGCAGATGTAGCGTTCAATGGTACTTTTCCTTATGAGAAACTGAAGCCAATATTTTAAGTTTGGTGGAACATTTTACGCTTTTTTTAAACGGACTTTCGGCTGCTCCGCGTTACACTAGAGGCATTTTAAACTGTGGGCGTCCACTCTTGAAAACCTCCAATATTTGTGATTAGGATTCTCGTCACCAGCTGGACGCAGTCACAGGGTTATATCTTTTGAGTGCACACGCAAAGGAGAATCTGATGCCAAGCTGTAACACAAGTAGTTTTTTTTTTTTTTGCGTGTGTTAATTATTTAGCTCATACATGCCACGAACCTTTCCAAATGGACCCACTTTGCCCAAAGGCCAGAACTTTGTGTGGCAGTGTCTTGTAACTTTGGCAGCATGAAAACATCTGCGCTCGGATAAGAACATTTCTGGTGCCAGAGCCTGTTTTGGTGAAGCTGCGTTCACGCACTGGGAAGCATTCGCTCTGTTGTGAAGATTTTCTAGGCCTGCCTTCTTTTGTAGTTTTGGATAAAAGAAAAAGAATGCATGGCTTTTCGTGAGAAACATTGCTTCATATAAATACTTTCTTTGTGCTGGTAAACCATTTTTTCTTCTCTCTGTTGGGGAAACATGATGCGGAACCAACTGTGGTGATCGTTTGCTTGTTTCCATGCGTCTTTCCTTTCCTCCAGACTGCTGGACGTTCTTGTGGACTGTGTTGCTATTTAATGCAATGGGCTGCATCCAGAGTATCAGATGTAAGCCCAAGAGTTTCCGAGACAGCATCGTCATCCTGGAGCTGAACGCTACTATCGACTCCAACCCCACCAGCATCGACGAGACATCCGGCGTGGTCTTGCGCTACCGGACGCCGCACTTTCGAGCGAACGCCCGAATACTGGTGCCACCAGTAGCAGCTAAGGAGACGTGGACCATCGGCTGGATCCAAGCCTGCAACCACATGGAGTTCTTTAACACGTATGGGGACAAAGGAATGTGAGTATCCTCGGGTCTTGTTGTTGCTTGGTCAGGTGTAAGGGATGACAGCGCGTTGAACGCATGTGGATGAGATTCAAATATGAAAAAAAGAAAAATCACCTTTGACATCATTCCAGCTGATGAATAAATATGTCATTTGAGTTAGTTTGCAAGTGGCATTTTTTGCTATTGACACTTTTGGTCAATATTGGCTCTTCTACTTTTAATTAAATGAATTTTATTCCAGTTAGCCAACTGTGAGCTTGGTTTCCAAAAACTATTCAGATTATTTTGCCATTCTAGATTTAATCCACGACAAACCCCAAAGAAAGTATCTAATGCTCACAAATGTTAAGGAACTAAATGTGCTTTCTAATGTACGACCCCAACACAGGGAAACAATCACAGCTTCACTACTTGTCTTAGTTCTGAGCAAGTTCTGAGCAAAAGCTCAGAACTTGAAACTATTTAGCTCACAGATGTGACAAAGAGAAGTTAAAATTTAAGAGACTTAAAGCTGACACTGTTATAACAACTTTTTGGGAGTGCTTACATCTTGAAAATGTGAAGAGTCCAAGTAGGAAGACTTTAATTGGATCAAAAAATCTGCCAGGAACAGTTACTGAAAGGACGTCTAGGTAAAAGGTTTAACAAGTTTAACATAAGCAAATGAGCTTGAGTTCTTTAAGTACGGGCAAAGACGAGTAGCAGAAAGAGTCAGTGCCAGCCACCCAACAGAGCCAGAACCTTAATTCCTGTGTAATTTATGGTTTAAATTGTAAGAATATCTCAGTTTCTGGTTTATATTGCAAATAATGCTAAAATTACTTCTTAGAGGAAATATTTCACAGTAGTGAAACTAGCCTACAGTTGCATGTGGTTCTCCCAGTTCAGCAAGGGCACACGTGTGTGTCATGCAAGCGGAACGTCACATATTAGCATCAGTTTTAAAGAACTTAAAAGATAACTGTGAGTGTGTTTTAATAATCAATAGCTTGACTGTCCCCACAACACATGGGCTTTAAGCATATGCTTGCAGGCTGCAAACACCTTCAAGAGCTTACACGTGTTTGAGTGCGGGACACTGATGAGAAATAATAGTTGCTGTAACCTTTCTGATGCCCCCTCCTTGGAGTGGAGTTATTTTTTCATCAGTCGTTATTAATAAAGCAAACATGAACAAATGCTGCTTTTAACTGTGCTCATCTCACCCAGGGACTATAAAAAGGTCTCGCTCGCTCTTTAATTAATAAAGTTCTATCTAATCTAATCGAATCTAATTTCCTTTATTTCTCAGAACGAGTGTTTACATACGTAGGGTTTGTCTTGTATCATGTGATAGGCAAACGCAAGTTGATCCGTGTGCTTTATCTGTAGACACGGCAGCAGAGGATGTTTGGGTGCTGCACGACTAAGATTAGAGTCCCGTCCTGGACACCCCACACCCCAGTATGGGCCTGTATGACACAGAGAGAGGGACAGAGCCCAATTACTTTCTGAAACTCAGTGTCACTGGGTCTTATTGGCCCTTTTATCTGGCTAGATTTTACACTTTCCATCTTTTGTCAAGTTCTTTTTTTTTTAGATAATGGTATACAAATACATGCTGAGAAGAAAACCCACATTCAAAATCATGCATGCATTTAAAAATGCTGAACTTGAAAAAGACATTTTTCGCAATACACCAGTAATGAGAATGAAACATAGATGAAATGCAAATACATGTATGATCATTTAAACTAGCACCTGTAACTATCTGGTTACGCAGCATATAAGTGGTGGTACCATAAAAAGACAAAAACATAGACACTATAAGCTCGCTGTCACCAACGCCACGTTCCCGAAACAGACAGAAAACAAAATAAATGACGCTGAAGACAAACTGATGGCATTATGCTTTTCTCAAATTTTCCATAGCTGTTGAGATAATATCATTTTGGTAAATTTTGTTTTTGACATTACTGGTAATGAATGTCTGATATCATGACTATATATAATTCCACTTACCACATTTTTTAGTCTTCTCAGAAACCACATAAGGGTACACTCACAACCATTTCATTAGTTCTACTATGCTAGTACCAGCTTGGACGCATTTTGCCTTCAGGATTGGATTGGATTCAAATTCTGACCCTCCTACCCAAATGTTGCAAAGAAATCGAGGCTCATCAGTTCAGGCAATGTTTCTCCAATCTTCTATTGTCCAGTTTTGGTGAGCCTCAGTTAGAAGTTAACAGGAATGGCACCTGGTGTGGTCTTGGCTGTTGTAACCCATTGCTGTCCATGTTCAACCTGTTGTGCATTAAGAGATGCTCTTCTGCAAACCATGATTGTATCAAGTGGTTATTTCATTTACTATGGCCTTCCTATCAGCTCAAAGCAGTCTGGCTATTCTTCCAAACTCTGGAATCAAAGAGACAAGTTCGCTCACTGCTTTTCCTTTTTTTCTCAGACCATTATCAATAAATCCTCAGACCAGCCCATCTGGCACCAACAACCATGCCATGTTTAAAGTCTTCAACGTGACTTAAATCACTTTTCTTTCTCTTTCTGTTGCTCACTTTGAACTTTAGCAGATTGTGTTGACCATGTCTACGCGCCTAAAAACACAGAGTTGGTTCTGTGTGGTTAACTGTTAGATATTTGCGTTAATGATCAGTTGAACTGGTGTACCTGATGAAGTGGCCAGTGAGTGTGTAGTAAATGCACTCTTGACTTGAATTACCCTACATGACTGTAACAGATATGGTATATGTATATATAGCACTGCGCTGTATATAGGGGTGTTAGAATGTGCGCACCCAGATGTACAGCAGTGTTTACAGAGGGAAAATCCTTGAATCTCGTGCATTCGAACATTGACTTTAAATCATTGTCCAGTGTTAGGAACGCTAAGCATTTCTTTCCTGCAAAGACAAACAATGAAAGAAAAGGCTATTCCTTATGTACATTTTTAAAGGCACACTTAGGTTGTAAGAGATGAGTCTGCTACCGCTGCTGAGACTCTCATACTAAGTAGCTCCTTTGATGCTAATAAAACTTCAGTGTACTGTAATTGGACAGAACAGCCGAGGATGGTAATGCTGCTGATTTCTCTGCTGGCTTTGGATGATGTGCTCGGGATTCTGTTTGCATCCATCACTTCTTCTCCCCCGTGCACCCATGGGCTTTTAACGAGGTGCAGTTTATCGAGTTTGAACAGTTTGTGTGTATTCAGAAAAAAAACATAACAGACATGCACAAAGAAAACAAAAAAAAAAATCCAATTTATTATAGCTACGTCTTGAAAGAAATCGTATCCCTGTTGAATATAGAACATAACAGTCATGGGAGGAACATTTATTTTCACAGAAAACGGTGAAGCTCGATGATGCAATTATCTTGTTGATTGCTCTGACACCCTGTTGTCTTTACTTTTGTTCCTAGTCTTCAGTCTCCGTGGGGGAGGGGGGGGGAAAGAAGCATTTCCTGGGCGTCTTTATCATTTCTTTCTTTCTTTTTAAAAAATCAAACAGACTGCTTTCCAAACTATTTGCCCGCAACATGCAAACGAGTGTGAGAGCAAAGGTGCAAAAACAGGAAATAAGCAATTCCACTGCTTGCTTTTGTTCGCAGTTGTGATGGGACCTTTTCAGTGCATGGACAAATCCTCAAAAAAGCTTATTTAAAATCCTTTCTTTCGGCATAAAGCTTCAACTTTTCATATATAATTCAGTTTTAAATAGATTCTTATTTAGAACACATTTTGGTAGGCAGCTTTCAGTTTTGACATGCAGCGTACGAGGCCTAAGACCGGAAGAATTCTAGGTGAGAGGGAATCACAACTATCTTTATGACAGCAGTGGTTACAGGTTTTTTTTAAGACTTGCCACATGAGCTAAACTACCTCTTCTGTAACATCACACAATTCATTCATTAGAGGTGAATAAACCAGATGTCATTTACTGCATACTCAAAGTGGGGGTTTTTGCAAAGAATTTGTCATACAGTTAAACTCAGTATCTTGGTCAAGTTGCTCAATTTTCCACTGATCCATTTCTTTAAAAGTTTTTTTTTATTGCCCTTCTATCACCACGCATTCAGTATTTCTGTAATACTTTTAGCCATTTACACCTTTTTAGCCATTTTCTCAGACATGGATTAGGCCTAAGGCTAGACTGAACGTTTAAATCCAGCGAGCTTCTCCTTTGAAACGAAGTTTTTAGTGTAACACTCATCTCAATCTATGTCTGGGAAACAGAGTCTGTCTTTATTCACGCTAACTCTGAGAGTTACATGTTAAAACTTTTCTGCTTTCCAAATATAATGATAATTTAGATATTTGTATCTATGGTCTTGCACACTTAACATTATACAGAAACTGACATGCTCACAAGTCACGGTGTAAAAAATGGCCTAGCAGCTCTTTAAAAAAGAATGAAGAAAAAAAGAGTGGGTGAATCATTTTAGCGTGTCTGCGGTTGTGTCACAAACACGACCTATGGGAGGCCATTTGCTTGTGACAAAGCAGGCAGTGAAGGCGCAAACAGGAAGTAAGCCCTATCTCTGCAGTGCTTTCCCCAGGCGTGATCAAAGTTCCTCAGCGTGTAGATGAGCCCGCAGCTCTAGGTTAATCCTCCTCCGATACATGTGCTCTTTTTACACTCAATGAAACACAAGCTTGAGGTTTACCGTAAATCATACAGTCATAAATGATGAATTGGAAGAATTTTCAACAGAAGGTGTCAAATAATTTGAATTGAGGAAATGTGTGAGTTCATGACAAAATGGAGAGTTGCTACAAAATGTTTGGGAGGCATCGTATTAGAGGATGAAGGGATCCTTCAGAACAGAAATGCACATTTGCACACAGACACACACGGGCCTGCTATTAGCATGCCTGACATGCTAATCTCACCAACCCCCCTGGGTGAATTCATAAATCACAATGTGAGGCCAGGCGTAGCAGGCTAGTAAGTCATGCGGGCTGGTGATCGCACTGTTATCTCTGTTCTGCTGAGCCTCGGTTTCTTTGAACGAAAGGTAATCTTTTTCCTGCTGCGGGCGGAAAGTCGATAGGTGGACAGAGCAGAGGTGCAGGGTGGCTTAAGTCGTTCGGTGTCGCCCGCTGTGCATGTCAAAATATTTCATCACTGTATTGGGTTCCAGCTCAGCAGGACGTTACTGCTGGAAGCATCCAACTGTGAGACTTTGATCCAATTTACTGTTCCTGTCCTGTGTTTGGTAGATAGACCGAAAAATCTATCAACTGAGGAGGCCACACTTGTGGTTCCATTTATTATGTATTTACTGTTCTTCATCATTTTTATCAGTGTTTTAAAGGGGTCAAATGACCTAAGATAAAAGGTCAGATTACTGTGCTGCGTCTTTCATACCCTGTTAAGCATTATTATATAACATTTTACATGTGCTTACATCCAGTTTTCCCTTCAAAAACAAATGATTTTAAATAAAGGATCAGTGTCTGTGAATCCTCATCTGTGCTTCCTTTCAACTTCCAGGTCAAGTTGGGAACTCCCTGATCTACGTGACAGCAAGATCCAGGCCATCAGCGACTCAGACGGCGTCAACTACCCGTGGTACGGAAACACTACTGAAACCTGCACCGTCATAGGCCCCACCAAGAAGGACAGCAAATTCGTAGTCAGTATGAATGACAATTTTTACCCCAGCGTGACTTGGGGAGTGCCCGTCAGCGACAGCAATGTGCCTCAGCTCAGCAGCATCTTCCGCGACCAGAGCTTCACGACTTGGCTCGTGGCCATCAATCAGGCCACCTCAGAGACGCTGGTCCTGCAGACGATCCGCTGGAGGATGCGGCTTGACATAAAAGTGGACCCGGAGAAGCCGCTGGGTCAAAGGGCCGTTCTGAAAGAGCCCGTGGCCCAGGTACAGCCACAGATTCTGGGAAAGAATGAGCCCATCCCCCCCAACGCCATGGTCAAGCCCAATGCCAACGACGCCCAGGTGCTGATGTGGCGGCCAAAGACTGGTGACCCTGTGGTGGTCATCCCACCTAAATACTGACCTGTTTTCCCTCTGACTTTCACTGACTGGCCTTGGATACCTTAACAGTATCATCTTCTTTAGTTTCTTTCTTTTACTCCTGCTCCTCACCAGCTCTCACTGCTTTAACTCTTCTTTTTTTCTGTCTCTATATTCTCTCATGTTTGAAAATGAAACCAGCTCTCAGAAAACAAAACAAAAGACCAGCTGTTGCTTTGAGCTACGGGCTTGAACACTTTCTAAAGGCACTTTTGAAACTGGAGAAAATGCAACTATTCTACCTTCAGACTTGGTCGGGTCTCACTGTGCTAAACTGCAAAAACGAAAGAGAGCATTTGTTTTGTTTTTTTACAGTACTGTATAATTGTTTGAGCCAACCGACGTAGGGTTTGGGAGTCCAGGGCAGATTGAAGTTTTTCTATGACCGTGCGTGTGCAGGTGGATATGCACAAAGGTCATGAACAAGCATCAGTTGTGTTTTGTTTTTTTAATTTATGGACTGGAAGAGAAGCGTATTTAATTGTATTTGATGTTATTGCTGTGTTCTCTACATGACACATTGCATTGGGTGACATACTAGATTTTAGTACTTTTTAAAGAAAAAAACAAACATGCAAGACATTCAATCCATGCTGCCTTACATTACATTGCTTTCCACTGCGAACTTCTTAGCCTTAAACAAAGTGCAATGCAGTATGTGGTAAACTCATGCCCGTTCCTTCCAGACTGTTGGCGCTGGCACGTGTGGGTTTAGGACAGGAACCACAGCACTGAGGAAAAACTCGGGTTTCAGATCTTGGCTTCTGGGTTTCATTTACCTGCTGAATCTATTGTCTTAACAAACGCAACTGGCATTATGCACAGACACAGTTACACAACTGAGCTAACTAGCTGAGCTGTGTTTCAAGTGCTTTATGCAAGAGAGGAGATGCTCTGTGCAGATGGACATACAGAGAGGCGAGTCTCATCAGCAGCCCTCAGCACACACACATAAACACAAAAACATGCAATAACAACTTGAGCATAAAAAAAACTCCACAGCTGACCTCATTTCACTTATTTTACTCAAACCTTTACTGTTTTAGCAAAGTAGCAGAAAACAAGTTCTCTTTTCTCGATATTACGCCATCTCAGGGCCCCTTGTTACTTCCTTCCCTTCTCGAATCTTTTTTTTCCACCCATCCTGTCTCGCCTCCTCCTTATCACATTGCTCACATTGAGCAATCAATATCTGTTATAAATAAGAAGGGAAATATTTTTTAATAAGTGGTCAATGAAAACAGCAGTCTGTCTTTTATTTTTTGCTCCTGCAATCTTTTTGTCATCGCATTTTTATTGCTGCTGCCATTAATTTGCCTTCCATCTAATTTAATCCAATCATTTGTCTTCTATGTTAACAGATTTTTCTGTTTGTTTCCCCCCCCCCCCGTCCCTCACCCTCAATCACTTTTAATCTTTATCTACCACCAGTGCTCCTCCTCCCACTCGCTCACTTGTTCACTTCCTCTCTGCCTCTTTTATTTATTTTTTTCATCTGCTGTCGAGGCTGCAAAAGCAGAGCAGGAGGCATGCGAGTTCGATGCTCAGTTGGCATATAGATGACCCACTTCTCCTTAGCTCTCTCCTCGCTGCAGAAATGTGGGGCCCGTGTTTTTTTTATTTCACCGCTGGTGCACGACCCCCCCCACACACACACACATAAGGAAGTGGCTCTGGTCAGCTAAAGATCGACGGTCGATGAAACGATGCGTATTTAAGTGCTAATCTTGGAGAAGGGCTTTGGTGGTGAACTGAAACTGCTTGCAAAAGCGTGAAGAAACAGGCTAAATTTGGCAATAAGGGAGGAGGGGGACAGGGGTCATTTACTTATCAATGGTATCCCAAATATACTATGGGTTGTGTAGACAGTTTTTCACTTCCAGTTGTTCGAAGCATCTTGCAATTTCCTTCCGCCCCTCCCCAGTCTGTGTGTGTTCAGCGCCAACTAAAGAAATCATCTGCATTCAAGTCTGATCTGCTCGTGCATTTCACAAAGGTCACTGGGCTGCTGTTTCAGAGTCCAAGCATCATACGCTGTATACCACCAGACTTGGTCCGGTCCTTCAGTGGCCCTACATCAGCCACTTTCACTGAGAAAGCAGGCACACACAAACGTAAATAATCACGATCTGTTCCACATAGGAGTGGAGTTTAATTAAGGTGACGGGTAACATCTGCGTTTACCTCGAGCAAAGAGCAGGCGGCTGGGTGGAGGGGTGGGGAGCGGGGGACGCTGAATGTGAAGGTGACAACAAACCGGATCCAACTTAGATCTTTGCAGCAGCTTAAAAATAACGCTGGCATTTTCAGAGAACTTGGATGTCAAGTTGCTTCAGCTTGTGGCTTGTAGTGAAGGTGATGCCGCTCATGCTGCGAACCCACCGACCTCTCTCGGGCAATAAGCGGCCCGTCTGCTCCGCGGAAAGCCGCGCGATGACCGGTGGACACCGTGGATCGTACTCAAGTTGGACCACGTGTAATGTAATTAAGTGCTGACACACAGTCACTGACTTTCAGTGTGTGCGTGTGCTTTAATTCCCGCTGGGAGGATTTAGGCAAGATGAGGAGTTTCACTCGTGCTTATGCTGTTGTTGAGTCATGACCCTCCCTCTGTCTTTCTCTCTCTAGTCACCCATCTCACTCACACACATAAGCAGAGGGCAGGGAAGGTTGTGTCCTTGTCATAAAATGAGCTTGCCCTCACAAACACACAAAATCACCCCGAGGCGAAGGGACCAGCCTGGCTTGGTATCTGTTTGTCACAGCAGTGTCACATTGGCAGTGAGAACTCATTTATCAGCCCGGCACGTGGACCGTCTGAACACATGCACAAGCCATATTCAGCAGCATGCCTGTTTACTAGAAAACAGGAAATGCTTCGCAGCATGTAAACATTGTATTGTAATTGTATTGTATTAAGATCCGAGAGAATTAAAGTACTGGGCTCACCAAGTGGGTGCCTGCCAGCTATCAACAGCATTTATGTAATACTGAAGGCAAAGGGCACCAATTGTCTTCTGTGTGTGTCTCAATCTTTTGAGCTTTGTGTAGATGAAAATGTGTGTTTTGTGTTTGTGCGGAAACTTCAAAAATGCTGTATGTGCTTCCTTGACTAAGCCACAGAAAAACAAAACCACAATGTTGTACTTTTGCTGTACAAATAGTGAAAAAACAAAGGTGCCAAAATTGGACAAAGCCAAAACTATGCATTGTTTTTAGAGACATGTGAACTCAAAAAGCTCTTGGCACTTAGTGACAGACCTGTTTCTTTGGTTGTTTTTTTTATTGAATGCACGTTTGTATTTCCAGAGAAACATTATGAATATAGCCATGCTAGTAGGGCTGTGCCAAGTGAGTGTTTCCTCTCCTAAACCCACACCCTTTACAGTTCCTGTGAGGACTGCTAGCTTTGTTTCATTTCCTTATTTAGTTATCTAGTGAACTAAATTCAAATTGAGTTCACACTCAGGACCACCTGCCTTCATTTTCCGGCTTTTACTTTTGGCCATACCCCACGAAAGTTAGTATTCCACAGGTGCTGCTCCATTGTGCTGTTCTCCTCGTGTCAGCGATTATAAGTCGTCATTTTAAATGTAGCCCAAAAGATAATAGGAGCAACTAAGTGTGTCCCTCCTTTCTTTTTGGTTTGTTTTCTGGAAATACAGCACTGAAACAGTTCAGGCCGAATGTGTTTTTTGGGAATTTTTTTCTGTTCCGCTTTGATTTTTACACCAATACTTGAAAATGGGTCAGTTCTGGTAAAATATTTAAAACTGTGAAAATGCACACCACTGGGGAAACAAACCCTCAGAAAATAAAAATAAATATATATATATATAATATAAAGAGGTCTTTTTCATGCCTAATAAAATGTAGAAATATTATGCACAGTCTGGCTTTTTTTTTTTATTTACACGTGCTATTTGTTACCTGCAGATGTTGAAAACTTATTTGCAAATTATAATCTTTATATACATTTTAATTCAGTGAGGAATCCTATATAGTCACGGTAAAAAGAAAGGACACCTTAAAGTTTGATATATAAGGAATTAATAAAGGATTATCTGGTCCTTACCAGGTCTTACGATAAGGTAAATACAACCTGAGATGAACAACACACATCACACAATGTCACTTTATACAAATTTCTTAAACATTTCAATCAGGTTGAGATCTGGACTTTTTTAAGCCACCCTGTTATAGTTTTGCAGTTCGGGATTCTTGTTCTGCTGTAATTTTGCCAAGCTTTAGCTGCCAGACAGACGGCCTCACATTTGACTCTAGAATACTTTGGTTTACGGAGTTTATGGTCAACTCAGTGACTGCAAGGTGCCCAAATCATCACCGCTCCACTACCGTGCTTTATAGCGCTGATATGCTGGGTTTGTTTTCGTGTCAAATGTGGTGCTGTGGATTAAGACCAGACATTTCCACGTTGGCCTCACTTGTTCAGAGAACAATGTTCCAGAAGTCTTGTAGCTTATTTGATGCAACTTTGCAAACATAAGCTGTAAGATGGGTTTCTTTTGGAGGAACGAATCATTTCCTGGCAACCCTTCCAAACAAAAAAAATAAAAAAAAATGTATTCAGTCTTTTTCTAATTGTGCTGTCATGAACTTCGGCATTTAAGATGCTAACTGAGGCCTGCATCTCTTGGGAAATTTGGTGTCTTGAATATTTTCCACTTGTGAATAATCTTCCTCACTATAGAATGATGGACGTCGAACTGTTTGGAAATGGTCTTATAACCCTTCCAAGATTGATGGGCACCAACAACTATTTCTTCAAGATCATTGCTGATGTTTTTCCTCCTTGGTATTGTGTTAACACACTCCTGAATACTCCAAAGTCCCCAAAATTCTGCTTTTATAGAGATGCATACACTGGTTCAGTTAATCAAGTGCATTTGATTTGCAGCACCTGGCCCCTACTATGAAAGTAATGCAATGCTTCTGCAGGATTTATTTATTTTTTGTTAAATAAGTAATGACATAAGTTTTGTAGTTCATCTCAGGTTGCATTTCCATAATCATAAGACCTGCTAGTATTATTCGTATTCAGTCCTCACATGTAAAAACACTTCAAAGAGGGTGTAGTTTCTTGTACTTTTTACCATGAAAGAAAAAAGAAGCTGATTATTTCCACTGATAAATGTATTGATTTTATTAGTAGACCACTGAGCTGATGGTTCCTTGCAGCCCAGCATACATTCATCCATGTGTGTCACTTCGGGGTGTTTTTCTCTATGATGGATGGTGTTTTCTTTCAATGTGTACAAATCAAAAGGACCAAGCATGCTCTGAATCAGAACAAAGAACGGCAGAATTTAAGAGCTGAACTGAAAAAAATCTTGAAAGCCTGCATGCATACGCACAAATCCCCCAGGCTTCACATACACAGCTGAGCACACAGATTCTTGTAACACTGGTATGGATATTACTACTTTATGTATGCAATTATGTCACATTTTGCTGATGGCAGTAAAGCAAAGTAAATAAAGGACAAGAAGTGATTTAAAAAGATAAAGTCCAAGAATGCAGTTAAATATGGCATGGGCTCGTGTGCTCAGACAGTATATCATTTTCACTTGAATTTGATTTAAGAAAGCAGCAAACACAAATGTTTTCTGTAGATTCTTTGCAGTCAGTAGAGCTGAAACTACTGAACACCTGGGGCCAGATGTATAGACAGACACAAATACACACAAAAACCAGTGTACGCCTTTTTCCACACGTATACTGGTATTTAGAGGAAAAAGTGGGTCGAAAATGTTCTTAACTACCTCACAAATACTTTGTGTACACAGAATCATCCATATTAATATGCTGAATTTTACAAATCACAAACTGCATTGTAAATAATTGAGTGTGTACTAAATTCTCTCAAGCCATTTTGTATTTTACTGTTGTTTAGTGCATGAAGCTCATGCTTTTTCTTTTTTTTTAACCTCTAGCAGGGGACTTTGTTCTCAGCCTGCAGAGTTGAGAGCTCTTTCTACAAATTGCGCTATGTATCCTATAGAAAAATCCGTGTGCATATTTCTAACTTTTTGTATGCACAATATTAGCTCAAAAAGAATTTTGGAAAGACTCCAAAACTGCATAAAACGATAGGAATATTTTCACATGAATGGTGTGCAGGGGTATACATCGTACTTATTCCCGTTGCAGATCAAAAGCTCTCCGATGCAGACTGTTTGGATTTGGAGACCACAGCTGCACACGGATTTAGAAATCTGAGATACAAAATGAATGAATAAACCCACTTTTTAAATATTTTCAGTTATAAAATATTAAGCTGGGAATATCTGTGTTTTTCGTTTTGTCAGTCAATGCAATCTCTTAATTATTTTTTTTTTTACTTTTCTCCTGTCTGCGTCACACAAATCTTTAAAAATGGGTCACTGTCAAATAGTTGCATTTGTATAAGTAAGAACAGCTAGGAACCTTTTTTTTTTTTTTTTTTTTTAAAAAGATGTTATTTAAATAGGAGAAAAACAAGTGCACTGGTTAGGGACTACTTTTGGTTGCTTATTAATGCATATTTGGTGCATTTGAGGATTTTGCAGCATGAGGGATTGACTTGGAATAAACTATAATGCCCAAGGACAGAATGAGTGTTATGCAGTGCAACAACAGAGTTCACACAAGTGCTCTTACAAGTGGGGCTTTTAGCTGCGTCGGCTATGCAGGTAAAAGTTACTACTGGTTTCTTTCTTTCTTTTTTGTGTCAATAAGACAAATTTTGTCTTCACCCTTACTCATTTATGTGTTCGGTCATCCAAACTGGAGGTATATATGCATAGACATAACCCAAATTCCAAAGGATTTCATCTTCAAAGCATATGAAACAGTTAACAGAGAAATAATCAACTTAAATTCTGACATTCAAAACTCTCATTGGATTTGGAATTATTTTTCTATCCCATGAGCACAAAATGTGCGAGTTTAGTCAAGTAATTTGTATGCAAGAGGACACATATGCTGAACAGTATGGATTTTTCCCCTTCTCACCTCCGCCACGAGTCTCACAGGACATCTCACAGCCCTTTGTTGGATTCTTTTAATTTTCTGTTCATTGCTTGTGACCCCATATCTCAGAACCACCTCTGCAATGGAGGACACTGACTGTCCAGCTTTAAAATAACAAAATATGTCCATTTACGAAACAAAATCTTACACGCGGTGTCGGGAGACTAAAGAAACGCCAGAGTGACGCGTGGAAGGCCATGTGTAAAAAAAGGGTTTTGTCCAGCAGCCTCTGTGTGTGTTCAGTTACTTGAGTCAGTTTGAGCCTCGACTGTCAATGCTATCCCGGTCGCATTCCTGAACTGCACATTCACAGCTATATTTACACGGCTCAGAGTCTCTCTGAGGGTGCTGCAGTATCCACCTGTCCCTATTTGTAATACCAAATAATCACTGCATCGCTTTATCTTTGGAACCAGACATTTCTATTAATAGTCCAACGATGCCAGCGTTTAAGTATGGAGAGATTGTCAAGTCGACCTGACGATTTTCAAACTGACTATCAGAATGGAGAAGAAAGGTGATTAATACAATTCTGAATGTGGCACGGTTGTCGTTGCCAGATGGGCTGATCCGAGTATTTCCAAAA